ACGAAGGATCGCGTCATTTGCGGAGGGCGTTAATGAGGCATTAATGCCTCGAGCGTCACTCCCGGCCACGTGGAAGCTTCTCCTTCGTCGAAATAATCACATGACGTCACGGAAGGCGTATTCGAAACGGCTTGCATGCACTCCAATTCCACGCGAAGAAAGAAACTGCTCCCGTTATTGTGCCCACTGCCGTACTCGGTCGTGTCAGTTTTCTAAAACTCCGGGTAAACCGGTGAAAAGATTTAAATTGGGGTCGCTATCGAAAGGCGGCGTACTGGAATACGCGATGCAGGATATTTATAGCGCTGGTTACGAGCGAAGATGTCTAGCCTCCCGTACGGACTGAGTCGCCCAGCGCAGCATCCCCGGCGCGCAAGGAACAATTTGCGCTGCAAACATAAAACGGAGGCGTCCGGTCCCCCGCCGCCGCCTTTGTTTATTCAACGCGAGACGACGGGTCATTGCTGCGCGCAGCATCGAATTTCATCCGCGAATGAGGACTCAAGTTTTATTAAAAGAAATATTTCCGTGCCTTGCTCTGTTGGATATCTCAAACACGACGAATAAATGACACAATTTTCTTTGACATTCGTAAAACATTCTTAAAATTTAAAGAACACAAATTTTGAAAAATAAACGTGAACTAAGATTTCTACGTCTAACGTTATATATAAATAGCTCTGATATTGATCGACTCCTTTCCCTCAAAAGTCAACCACCACCAACGATATATCTTAATCTCAAGCAACCTCTAGCCTCGTGCAATCGGCAACTGTGATTTTTAAAACGCATCTACAAATTCAAATATGTTACATTTCTCATTGTATCTTCCTGGGAATATTATGATCGAGTTAGCGAAATTCTCCAGAAGAAACTAAATCCAAACACTATATCGCGAGAACTTGTTCTGTAACTGTCCACACCATTTCGTAAAACTGTAGGCTAGGAGCTCCATGATTATCTCCGTCACGCCACCGATGGTATCTTAAGTTATAAATGAGTTGCCGAAGCAGAAATCTAAAAATGCCTCACTTACACCTATCGTCTACTAAACATGATACACTTTACCTTCCATTTGTCGATAAGTGTCACTCTGCTATCCCGACTTACTTTTGCTTGAGGTTTTCTAAATATCTGTACCAAATCACAATGTAAAAGTACCAAATCAACAATGTAAAAGTTGCAAAAGTTATTACCGTTTATATCACGGACCGTCCAGTTAGGTTGATCGAACGGGAGGATTCTGTCTCCAAACTGTTAAAAGATAGAAAATTATTCCGTAAACATCACAGGAAACGATATCGTGACGATTCTATGGAACCTATTACCCACCGCGAAATGTTCAGCAATAAAACGTCTTTGTTTCCGCGTGGATTGCCGCAAGTTACAATTCTGTCCCCGATCGTTTTCAGAAATGCCTCGTTCGGCGATTGAAATCGCCAGGCAAAAGCTTGGGCACCTTGCGTGCGACACGTCAGGAAAGCGATGCAAGCAGGGATATAAGGGGAGGAGAACCCTTCGTCGCGACCTTCTCCAAGGGCGACCGCGCACACGCACAAAATAATGTATCGAGGGTGAAACAACGCCTAGGGTCGCCTGATTCTGACGTGTCCATAATCTCAGCCATAGGAACAAAGGAAAATCGATAACGAGAGTTATCAACAGGAAGCGGGAGTCGGACATTTCGTGTTTCGTTTCCTACACCCGCGGAGGACAATGCACCCCCAGCCGTTGCGGGATGGAAATTCTCGATTCTCGGCTGGAATTCAAATTCCGGACGGCCAGACGTTATTACGTTCTGTCGATTTTACCGCTACCAGTGACAGCGATGACAAAGCCAATAACGATATTATGTCTCATTCGGTTCAATTTACCGAGGGATTTCCTTCTGTAATTCATACTTTCCTCGTGATCCTCTTTCATGCATGACGCACATTGGTCGGACTTTCCACGCAGCTGACTAAAAACCCAGCGTCGCTACTTCTAACTTATTTCTATCTGAAATGAATAACTCCACCCCTTGCACTGGAATTACGTGCCACGCTCGTCGAGAGTTTTACGGTTGAGAATTGGAAATGCCGTGTTGTACACGTTGATAGATAACTGTAATCAAAAAAGTATAACAAAAACGAAAGAATTTGTTTCGTAGTTTTGACTGGACGTGGCAAAAATATCAAGCTGCTTGTATACTTGGATATCAATCGCATGGAAAAATGGTCGGACCACGTTCTATTGGACTCCGGTCTGGTCTGACCACGAACGGACTGCAGCACCTTGCTAACCGCTTCGATCTTGAACGCTGACTTCGGCCGGTCCCCTTGCTGCTGTTTCAAATCTGCCTCGATTTGCCAACGAAAGCGCGATTAAAAAAGTCTGATTTTTTGGGGACCTGCTAATGAAGCATTTGCGCGTCCGGATCCGCTAATGGCATTGATGCGGGGTTATTCGTTCACCATCTAGACAGGCCTAAACTTGGGGGTGGGTTTTCCAAAAAAAAAAACAACGTTTTCGATTGTTTGAACACACGAGAACAGTGTTTGGCTCGATGCTCTGTACCACAGCACGATGAAACGTGAACTGCATGCATAGAAGCCACTGAATGCTTTAGCTACCCTAGATTCCGCTACCGTTTTATTTATCAGATCATCTCAGAAACACACCTGTTTTTCATACTTCATTTCAAAGTGTAATCAACGGTAAATCGAGTTTCAAACGAATATATACCGGCTTTCTGGTCGCCTGAAAACTTTTGTCATTCCAAAGTCCTATACCTGTGTATGGACTACTCGCTAAACCGTAATTTAAAATTTCAAGTGAATTTTTTTAATCAGAAGCACTTGCAAGCCTCGCTGTACCGTGGATCTCTAAAGCGAAGTACACTCGATTCAATCATCAGCAAAGCGATTCCTAGCGGAATACTAATGTTTCCCCGTTGCGTCAACGAGACAGCCTTACAAAAAGTCAACGTTCCGCTAATATCCCGAATGCTTCGTGCTCATCCGGGCGAGCTACTCCGAGATATTAACCCTCAGCGTCAGCAGAAGCTTAATTGAAGCACCATTAGCGTTTGCGAGGGAGTAATCGGCTGTGGTGACTGTTTTTCACGCGGAACATCCGCGTAGGTTTTCCAGACGCGACACAGCTGGCCACAACACTCGTGGGATTTCCATGGCAGTAAGGAGACATGTGGTCAAACGTGGCGAGGTGTGGACTGCACGCTCGGGCCTCTACAGTCTGTGGTCTTTCGAGACTAGGGTCATCTATAACCCTGGCCATAGGTCGTCGATCGTTATCGACCTGTCAGTGTTGAATATTTTAGCGAAAGTGCCGGGTTCGCTGACCGAGAGGCCCGAAGCTCTCGCTGAGATATTGCAGCGTGCTCGACGCCTGCGGCAAGAAACCATTGTTCTTTGATCCTCGACAACAAGGATTTGGTTTTCCCTCTTCGTGAGTTATTTAAGGAGGCCTTCTCATCAAAACTGTGAAAAAAGTGATACTTACGACTTTCTCCCAGAAAAGTATAAGTATCGTATACACCGGACTTCTCGGTAAAAATCGTAAAATCGCCTTTATTCGTTCATTTTAGTACCCTTGAGCAATAAAAAATATGTTTCAGAAAATTTGGTGCGGTTCGTACAGATTTGCTCTTTATTGTAAGCTTCGACGTGCTTAAGCACTACTTAGTAAGTAGACGTAGGGCTCGCAAAGGCTGACTATGACATCCGACCCAACACAAGTTGACGTTTGTTCGACGGAACACTCCCTGTGATCGAAGATGAAGCAACCGTGGTTGGTCGGAGAGACTGAAGGAGAAGTTGAACTAACTGTTCCCACGTTACATGAACTACCCTATTGATTTCTGAAATTGTATTTCACTCCACGCGGAAATGTTTCCGAGGACGTACCGATGCCAAAGATACCGTACATTCATCCAAGTGCGATCGCTGTTAACTTTCGAGATACTTCTGGAATCCAGTTGTTACTGTTTTCAATTTGAGAGACACTTGTCACGTTTAGGTAAATCATCGACTGGTCTCGCGATATTTCAATAACCGTTTTTAGGCTACGTTGCACATTCTAGACGCTCGTGAAGCGAACGTCTACTTCTATTGCTATCGACTTCTCGAGGGTCCTTTGAGCACTCGAGCTTCGGATTCTTTCCAAGGCATCCGACACGTGCCGAGTTTGTGTATTCTCCTGTAAATATTTCGCGTCAACGTTTACATTCTAGATACAGAGTAGCGGATAGCCGTCTGGTGCACTAGTTTTTGGGGTCGATAAGATTGAATGGAGATCGGGACTGACGGGGTACAACGCAGTTCTCTGTCGTTTACATTGCTCGACATTTTCGGGTGAAAGGGCCGTATCTACTCGCAGCGGAACGAACCGGCGAGCGTGAGAAAGGCTTGCGAAGAAAAAAAAGGGGAAACCATTGTCTCCCGCGGATGCCCGTCCGAGCGTTATGGATTGGAAACCACCCACGACGCTGGCAAAGGGAGACAAAGGGAGCGAGGGAAAAGGTAGCCAGAGCTTCATAGAAATGTCTTTGTTGTCACGACGAATTGGAAAGTCTCTGGCGCCAGTGGAAGCGCGGATATCTGTAAATGTTTTGTGGAAAATTTCTGATTCGCACGGGACAAATGCTTGACGTATGTTTCCTCTGTGCGGAGCAACTCGACGGACAGCGTTTCCCAACTGCTTCCCGCGGACAATTTTTTATACTGTTCAAATCGCTGTCATTCTTCATTCCTTTGACGTTCCTTGATGCGTCTGCGATGATCATCTTCTCCGAAGAGGCGTTTTTTAGAATCAATAGTACGTACCGATGGAAGTAGTCATTGCTCAAGTATCCCTAAAATTGGATCTGTGCGCATTGGCCAGGTACGAACGGAGAAGTGCTGAATTCACAGACTTTTAGTTCTTCAGTCATCCAACGAAATCACTGCAAAATAAAAGCATCAGAAGGTATTGGAAATCCGCCAGCTTTTTTCCAACATTTTTATTCGTCACCGTGCCCCTGTTTCCAGCGCGCTTCGATGCCAGACTGGGGCTTATAAACTGTTTAACGCAATTACCCTCGACTCGCGGGGTCTTTTCAAGCGACCGTTATCGATCGCCTAAAACCGAGAATAGGGAAGTACTTGTCCTTGGAATTTCCATATTTCGAGGGCAGCCAAGGTGCATCGAAAGCGGCACGAGAACCACGCATAGTTCAACTTTGTCTCGGCGCATCCTGGTCAGCTTGTTATGCCTCTAATCGCAAAGGGAAGAAACCTTGTCCGACGATAAATGGAGACTTTTATTGTCGACTATTAACATAGATTTGTCACATCGCTAGGCAGAAAACTTGTATGCGGTATCTTGCTCAAGTGGCCCGACAAAAGTTACCGAACTTCTAAATTCTTGAACCATAAATTCCACCGTGACGCATTTTACCATACCGTGGTAAGAATTATTCCTGACTTGACGAGAAACTTGTGCGCGTCGTAAACGCGAGACTTGAGAACAAATATCGTCCGACTCGAAGACAAATTGTACGAGATAATAAACAGTCTAAAAATCTACCGTTGTGAAATGATTAGAGCGGAAAAAGAAATGTTGAAGTTAATCAAGTCCTCCCGTTTTACGGTAGCGATACAATGTCTTCTAGACATGATTTAAAGGAATGAAACAAGTTAATCGGTAGTAACATCGGTGCTACTCGTTTGGTTCATCCAAACTCGAACCGATGCCTGTCATTTCCCTATGTATCCGGTCATGTTCCTGGCGTAAGGTGGGTTTCCGTTTGTCCTCAAATAGAACTTCCCTCTGACTGTCGACGGCACAGCGTATCCCATTAAAACCTCAGGGGTCCATATGCAATTTGCTCGAATATCTGGACGCCACCTAGGACAACGGCTGGCAGGAAACCCAGAAGGATTCGTCACGGATTCCGCGTACAGCATCCAAGCTCGATTGTGTCCGCAAACAACTGAACATCGAATAAACACAATTTAGCGACAAATCGAGACTTTTAGTTTAGCAGCTAAGTAGAGATTAGCGGCAATTTAACTTTAGCTGTTCAGTTAACTCATAAGACGTTGAAAATCTTACTGTACTGATTGATGATACGCGAAACGCTTCGGCGGATCACGTTTCCCAGAGTGCAACCGGGTTGAATCGGTTTGCCACCGTTTGGATAAAAGTCCACGTGACCCAGAGGATTCGGAAAACCGAAGTTTCCGCCGTCGGTATGAATCACGTCTACGAACGTCGCGTCAGCCGCTGTCAAATGTCCCTCTCTGCCGGTGTTCTTGTAGAGAGGATAAGCTGGGTCCAATCCAGTGATCCGACCGACCTGGAAGCAAATTTTTCTGTTAACGGCGGAACCTCTATTGTTTAGAGTCATTCAGGAAATGTATTATACATATGTTTCAATCGTAGGCAGTGGATACTTTTCACGAAGAACATTCTTTACCTCTAGAAGTGGACTTACATAAAGATAATAAAAACAATGGAAGGATGGAATGAAAGAATGCAAATGCAAACGTAGAAATATATCATGACAGAGAACATGACAGCAAACGTAGAAATATATCACACTTGAAATATTCGAATGTGGTTACTTCAAATGAGTATCAGTTGATAACGCCCACGTTATTGGCATTTATATATATCGATTCAAATTTTCTTTTTATTTCAAGAGTGTGATAATCTTAAATGTAGAAAGGAATACGTATAAAAAATTACAAAAGCCTATGTTTGTTAATAAGCATGAATTTGACTTTTAAGTTTGAAATTTACTTTTCGTGGGGCTAACGCCTTTCCCATGAACCCAGCGATCTCGGCGCCTAGGCTGAATCCAATTACATGGAGCTTTGAGAAAGGCACTGCACCTTGAGCATCCAACCATTTCACAAAACGAGCGACTTGAGGTCCAACGATTTTCGTGTTTCGAACAGCTGTCACGTACCAAGGCAAGCCTGCCAACTTCGCCCAATCCACTAGTATCACGTTGTGTTGTCCTCGCTTGAGGTACACTGAAAGAAATCGCTCAGATTGGAGAAACTTCACGTTCGCACGTCTTCTGTTTTCATAGGAGGGGGGGGATTCTTGTGTGAGATGTAAACACCTGCTGAGAATTACTGATACGTACCGAGCAGACAATTTATTTTCTATTGCAGTTAACTTTGAGTGACCTCGAATGATCTTCGTAATGGATCATTGTATTTGTCTCGAAACTATTATAATTTGTCTTGCAGGCCGCACTCTAGAGGCATACCTTTACATTTTTACGTAAAAAGGATTTCTTCGGACGTAGAAATATGGGAACATGTAGCTCATCAAGAACTAATAAACTTTCGTCTACAACAGTTTTTAATTGCACTATCGGAAATATCTAAAAAAAATGGTAGCATTACTTAACGGGTAGACCCTGTATACACGGGTTGAATCGATAACCTTTTCATTTCTGAAGTAGGTTCAAAATGAATAAGAACAGAACGTTAAGAGAATCACAGGATTTATTGATAAGTCGAAGCAGTTATGATAAATTACGCGATTGTAACAGACCGTATAGACCACACTATGTAGTAATCGTGAGAAAGTGAAAGTACCGTCTCGAGTTGTGATGGAGCTACCTCCGGATGCACTGTCGCTGTATCCATGGATGAAGATCACGGTTGGATATCGGTTGTCGAAATTACTGTTCCGCAAGGAGTAGGGATTCGAGATGTCCAGCCTGGTCGGGTAAGTTGGATTCCGTCTGACGTAAGCACAAGGAGAAAATAATCAAAATTGTTATTAGACCTCAGATGTTTGCTACAAAACTGAAACATTCACCAAAACTGACTGTAGGATTTTATTTTTAAATCAAATATAAACGATATGGAATGTATACACACATATAAATGAACATACCAAATTTCAAAAGTTTATGCCAATTACTTTGCCTGCAAAAATATCATGACAATTCCCTTAAAACTACGTACTAAAAATAAAAGAGCACCCTCTTAAGTCGCACGATTAATTTATACCGCATTGGAATTGTTTTCCATCGTCGAACATACAGATAATCTGTTCGGAGTTTAGTGAGCCAATGCAAACCAATTTGTGCTTTCTATCGCTTACTTTCCCGCGACAAAGGTTAGACCGATCGATACGCGAACCAACGTACCTGGTGTACAACAGATAATCGATGTCGCGGTCCAAGTTGATGGGACAGCAGTACGAACAGGTACCGGATGGAAGCAGCGAAACGTGGAGCGGAACCTCACCTGGCGATAGAAAGGAAACGTTATCTCGAATGTTCGTCGAAGTTCGCGCATGGCGGCTCACAACCTCGACCAATTGTCGCGGTCGTCGTCATTGAACCTGAGAACGGACACGTGATATCGCGTGCGTTGCCGATCGACGCTCGTCAATACGCGTCGTCTGTATCAAAGGTCTCCTTTCTTACTACGAACCACCGTTGTCAGAATTTCCAATGATGCAGCAAACTCCCGCGTTACGCAAGTTTCTAAAACGCGAATTTCTACATCGCGTGAAAAATACGCGTATCTCGGTGACTTTTTTGTATTCTGTGGCCAATAAAAGTGTCCATAAAAATGAAGTTTGATCAGTTGTAAAAACACGTTTTACTAATGAATCAAGGCGAGCACTCCCTATAGAACGCCAAATGTTAGTCAATTTTCATGATATTTTTTTGGAGGGTAAGGAATGTACATATGTTTTCAGAGTCATAGGTACTTTTTAATGCATAATTCTAGTTTACAAAACGATTTTTGTTGTTTAAAAAGGATGGAAAATAATGGAGATGTAACCAGTCGCCTCGAAGCTGTCTGATAGGGAAGCCGAATGCGGTGACCAATCTAGCACCTCGTAGGATTATCTGAAACAGTTTACGCCAAAAAACTTTTTCATGTAGCGTTCGAATACTTCCGATGTCCGTCGTGAATATCATACTTCAAGAAGTATTTAACTGTTCACCATGACTTTGCTGAGAAGCATATTTTATTTTTAAAAAACAAAATTCTAAAGCTCCTTCTGGAAAGCCTTTTATATTCGTCGACTATTGTTTTGAGAACGGATTCATTTACCCAAAAAAAAGTAACAATGAATTTGAAAGCAAGGACGACGGAACACTATCAGGGCTAACCCATTCTGCTTCACGGAATTCTACGTTAACCATGTTCCATTTTCGAATAGTAGTAAATTTAAATAGAACGTAATTTTTTGTGTAAAAGTAGGTCAAAATGATAACATAAATTTTCTTTTATTCAGTGCGTCATCTTGAAAAAGAAAACCTTTAAAAATCATTCAATTACTTCTAAACATGATTAATTCCTTCGTATGAAACTACTTAACTATTGCGACCATATCTAGGTATTATATTACGTGTATACAATGTACGACGAGATGGATTCAGATAAAATAAGATGTTTACATTCTGAGAATTTTATTTTATTATCGCAGATCAATGGTTCTTATCACTTTTAATTACACGCTGTAGTCTGACGAAGAAACACCAGGTAGAGTTCTTAATTACATATAATAGTAGTATCCGTTTGAAAACTTCGAAAGAATAACATTTCAATTATTTCATTTTGTTTGTTAGTCGATTATAACTGTTTACACCGCATCGACAGAATTGCTTGTATCGTTCTGTGATGAATTAAATGTTGATACGTATATTTAACAAGTAAACTTTGATTTCACCATTTACGCATTGCAATTGTTCTTTTCATCTACAAATTCTGCAAATAATTTTAAGACCGCCAATGCTTGATACAGAAGCCAGTTCATTTTTTTCTTGCAAGGAATTGCTATAGATACATTCAAATTGAACGAGTTATGCAGATGACCTATCGCAAGCACCTCGCTCTGTATAAACATGTCCACTAAAACGTTTGATATCTTCAATTTTATATTACCTTCTCGAGTCGTTTTGGCATGCTTTCAAGAAGTTTCATAATGGTATTTCTGTTTATCTCAGACGAAACTTTCAACCCTTCGCTTGCACGATTTCTCCAAGTGTAATAAAACATGTTGAAATATCCATTCGATGTGCTCAAAGATCATGGAAAAATAATTTTTAAAATCCGTCCCGTCCTTTTTTTATTTTTTTAAATCTAAATGGAGGCGATATTTATTTGTTCAATCTAATATTTCATACATTTAAAGTATGAACAAATACGAACGCACCATATAGTAGACGTTATTTTTCTCCTAAATTGGAAATTACAGAAGTGTTCCAGATATACACTCGGTGTAAGAAGTATTCGTACAGCAACCCATTTAAAATAAATGGTTGCACTGGACAAACAGGGTATATAATTTTTGTAACTATATTAAATGCAATTTTAAAACTTGTTGTGCAATTTTTAATTTATTTTAGACTTTTGAAGTTGCGAACAAAATCACAATCATAAACGGGTTCGTGAATGAAAAAAGTTTAAGAAGCCCTGCCCTAAACGAATCTCGCAAGTCTGTAGTCGACAGTTGTGGGAATACGAATACTTATGTGACTCACTGTATACCTTGATGTTAACCCAGACCTATAGCGACCTAACTCACGCTAACTTGCGGTTACCTAGTTAAACCTGCAGCGGTACTTGGATGGAACATATCTGGTGTTCAATTCGAAACTAGCCTAAATCTGATCCAGACATTCACCTAACCGTCGTCTAACACATCTGGTTTTCAATTCGAAATTAACCTACATCTGGTCCAAACACTCGTGTAATCATCGTCTAGCATAACTGACGTTCAATTCGAAATTAACCTAATGTTTAATTCAGACACTAACCTAACCATAGTCTATTTGACTGCTGGTGCTGGAGCTTCAAGTGGTAGTTCTTCCGTTTGCCAATACATGGCGAGATGTTTTGTCGGGTTTGCAACGTTCGCCATTTTTGTTGCTTCACTACAGACCGTTAGAATGTTAGAAAAAGCACCTGATCGACGAAAACGGCGAGTTTAAGGCGCATAGAGCGAGTTAATCAACCGCGAGCGTCGATGTGTAGCGTGTCCGTAAGTCGAGGTGCGAAAAGGCAAGCGGAACGGAATCGCTTCGAGCATCCCAGACTTTTGCGCTATCGATCACCGAGTGCTCTTAACCTAATGTAACTGTGGCTCGATAGCCGTGATTTAGAAGCGACGAGAAATCATTCTCCGTAACCGATGCAACGATCACACGACCACATGCCGCGAAACCATTCTACAGTTGACCTAATAAATGATTCAAAATGGTTAACAAATCTTAAGGCAACCAGTCGTCTGTAACAATATTTAAGGTAAAGAGATTACCAGAGGCAATTTTTTATTGCAACAAATTACTTGTCATCGTCAAATATCCAATTAGTTTCAATCCCTGTAAGTTTTATAAAGATTCGCATACTACGTAATTTTTTAAAAATTCGTCAAGAAAATGTAGCGAAACTGTCTATCGATACGTCAAGAAAAAGAAAAGAAATGTATTTTACTATTATTGAAATCATAACATCACTAAAAATGCAAAATTTGTAACTCATCGTCCGAACGTAAGAAGTTGATCACCCACTGTAGATTAATGTTCTTGAGAATTGACCTAAATAGCAGAGCAACTCTGCAACTGAAGTTCATGCGTTGACCTTAATCGCGAGAATTTATCGACACGAACAGGATCACTTAACGATTACGACGAAAGAAACTCAGGTTTGGTTACATCTACACTCGATAGAGCTCACGCAATGCACGCACTAGTTATTATATCGTTCATTAATGCTAATAAGTTCTTCTTACATCCTGTGCATCTTAGTCCCCTTCACCCAGATATATTTTGTAGTACACGAGAGAAAGTTTCACAATCCTCTTACATGACCAAGCGATGCATAACGATTCTTGTTGTTTATAAATATATCAAGCAAATTCGATGCATATGCTAGTTTGTATAGAACATCGTTTCATAAGATTTAAATAACCTCCTGATATAATTGGCCGTATTGATAGAATTAACATAAATTCCGCGCAGGAAGGAACTGGAGTTTACACGAGCACTAAATGCTTTTCTCGAAAGGGACCTTTCAGAATATTTCAATGAAAAGCAGGCCAGTTAAAAGCAATCCGCAATTCAAGCGCTGCTATTATTCACTTACTTCGTTCCGAGCACATAGCCACATACACGTCACGAGAACAACTCTTTTAATTAAGGAAAAAACATTTCCTCCCCGTGTTTCTGGTACCCGGCGTTCTTCGTTTCAACAGTTTCTTTATCGCTGGTAATTTCACTCTAATTACAGTCTCAGACTATCCTGGCAATAATTACCCGCAAAAATTCCCGTACCTTCATTAGCTGTAATTACTGAAAAGACGGACAAAAATAATCTTGTACCACTCGCCGCGAGTTTTCACCGTACGAAGTATATGCTGATCGCAGTTCAACAGTAATAAACTTGGTTTTTCGTTACCTCTTTTGATCACGAGTACGCGGCACAGTACGGAAACTAGGAATTGCGGCACCACCATGTCTCCGGAACCGAACTAAAACTGAAAGATCAACTGATGGAGGCAGGATTCCAGTCAACGACAGAAGCGGGAGCAAACTGGTGGAAATTGAAAGCAGTGATCAGCAATGTTCTGGCACCGAGGATCTCGAGCATGACGCAAGGCGTTGCCAGACTCCCTTTCTGGGAACTTCGAGGTTTTCTATAGTAAAAGATAAATTACTGGCTCTCAATTGTATCTTGATGGAAAGTTACATAAAGCAGAAGTAAAACTTTGGTGTCAGGAACGAAGGGAACGGATGTTTCTTAAACGAAGCCTAATATTAGGCGACACGAACTTTTCGCAAAGATTCTGTTTTGAAGGTAAATAAACAGAAGTGCGTTTATTCATGGAGACTAGAATCGAACCTGTTTTTGTACGGTAGATAGGGACCGCATAAATGAAACGCACAAAAAAAATATTTGGAAACTTGACAAAAAGCTATGCGATCGGGTAATACATTAAGGGTCAATGAATTCGTCTTGAAAAGCACTATCGCATGATCCCCGAGCAAACATGTAGTTCCATTTAAAACGCGAAACTTCGCCATCATATCTTTTAAATTAATAATATAAACAAAATTTCGTTTACACCACAATATAGGGCCCATTGTATCTTGCAATTTACGTGTAAACAATTTTTTCGTGTCATCAATGGTTATTGAAATATGCATCTGTCACACTTTACCGTGGACACCCTGTATAACAAATAATGCTTTCATATCGTATTGAAGAACATTTTTTTCTCAAAATCACATAAAAGCTATATCTAGGTATCATTAAATTTTTGAATAAAGTAGGGAGATATCAATATACGTCGTATATCTCTGTCTACGATAGAATTTCTATCTGATTAAAAATATATTATACATTAAACGCAAGAAAATTGGATAGGTTCTGAAGTAACACTGGAAATCCCTGCAACAACGATCCCATTTTTTGTCGGGATTGCACATTTTATCGGAAGCTGCTCCAATTAGTACAAAGTTCAAACTGGAATTTAAATCTTCCAGGTACTTCAAATTAACCGAATGGCTACCTAGCCTAAACCTGACCTTAGGTGACATCAATTTTTCACGGTTATTCTGTGCCGATGTGCAAACAGAGGAAGCCGGGACTTTTTTCGTGGATCCCCAAGCGCAAACTACGACAATTACTGAGCAAATTGGATGCAGCAGATCGAGGAACTAATGGAATGCTCGATGGCCTTCTTGGCTTCGACAGAAACGAGTACAAATTCATTTGCGACTGACGGGTGTATCGAATGGAAATTGCACAATTTCCACTCTGCAATTCCATTAACCTCCTGAGTGCAACATTTTGAGGAGTTTACGGGACTCTGATTTTACATCGTGTATAAACCGAGATTTAGTTGACGTCCGAGTTCCGTCTAAATTGTTCTTGACAAACGACCCTATCATTCAGAAATCTTTTTCATACATTCTGAAGTTTGTTCAATACCGGATAATAACAAACCTTTGAGAACACTTATTGTAAAGCATGGTTGCGTGCGAAATGACCGATTTCGTAGAGAAGCTTCAAACATCTGTATTCTTATTACAAATTAATTTTATCCATCAAAATGAACACGTTTGTACCAATCAAACCAATCGGATGCACAAGTTACATGTTCCGATCCGCATCAAGAGCGATCCAAAGTGTTACACTTTGCAGTCTAATATACACCGAATACGACACGATCCGGGTGCTCGTATTTTGGGATTCGGCTGGGCGTTCATCGGCAAACAATAAACACGAAAGTCCAGAACGAATGTCGCGCAGGTTTTCATTTGCCGTCGGATGATCCTGGCATAGGACCGTCCAGTTGTTCGGCGCGTACGTATATCTGGGTCAGGGTGCTTTCCAGATATTAGGGGGATGATGCGCAAAATATCCCCACCACGGTGTCCAGCATCGGTACAGCAACTTTTCACTCCGACGCACCGACCGTGGACCGTCTCGAATCACAGCCAACCAATGTACCACTTAACCTGCGAACACCACCGATCGTCCCGCCATGCCGTGCCATTGTTTCCGCGACGAAACTCGATGCCAAGAACATGACAAAATCTTTTTATACCGCTCTGCCGTTCGATGTCCTTCGACAGTCCTCCTTCGCAATTTCGTCCAAGCTTTGCAAGTTTGCGAAGCGCTCAGCCATAAGGATATCATATTTTTCTTTAACTACGTTCACTCGTGTGTAAGGGCCGAAGTGCCCTTCGAGTTTCGCCGTCTAACGTAAATGTCCCAATCTCTGCTCATATCCTCATTTCTAATCTCTTCGTTTCATTTCGATTGTTATGAACGTTACGTTTGGACAATAGTTGCAAATCTTACCTAGAATATTTTCTATAAAAATATGTATGGTAACATAAAACATAAAATATTGTGTACGTATACTTATTAACGAAACGAAAGAAATTTTTTAGACAACTTAATAGTTCTTCTTTGACGCACTTCTAAAATTGTACCTGGATTATAAGATTATTATATAGAATTACATGATTTATCTCTGCGAAAGGAAATACTGTCTCTTGTTTTTGACCGTCTCGCAAGTCTGAGAAGTTTTATCGAAACTGACGAGGAAACCTCGTCATGGTTTCTGGTGGGAATGGGTGACTTTTCAGGGATGCAGCAGCATGCTTTGAATTTCATGAAATCTCGAAGACCGAAGTCAACGGATCGTTGAATCCGCTAGCCAAGAAGTGGTTGTGGAACTTTTCGTTTGTTTTGGTAGACGGTGAAAGGGTGAGTTTACCAACTTGAAAGATCGCGTGGCGCGAGTAGGTAAAAAGAGCTACGGCGGAAAGCGTAAAACAAGGATTCGCAAGAAAGAAATAATGTATCGATTGATTCCTAGTATCCGTGGGGCAATAATAGCGCTGATAACTATTGTTGAAGCATTATATCATTATGAGTCAACCTTCCACGAAAGCGAACAGACTTTCAACTTGCTCGGCTTAGAAAAAACAATAAAACAGTGACAAGAATAGATGCTAAGGACTATTATTCATATTTCCGTTCAAACGTACAAATATTAACGTTTTGTTTCAGGATAAACTGTTAACAAAGCTAGAGGAGAACGAGCCAGAGTTAGCCTCTTCGCAGGAAGATGAGGTGAGTGAACTGCTATCCACTATTCTAACCCTCATAATTACAGTAAAACCTCGATTTAACCCTCTGTAATCAAGCGCGACTTTGCAGCCACAAACCCATTATCTACGCTTGTGCAATAACATGCCAAACAATATTGCAACTACTGTTTTCATGTAACAAAATGTCGGAATTTCCAGCATTTGAAAATTAAGTTTGTTTATTTGAACATACCACAAATTGTTTTTTCCATTGTTACCGATTCAAAGGAAAGTATTTTTCAGGATTTTGTTTAACTCATTATTATCGTGTATTAAGAAATGATTGTTTCGCATTGAATTCGTAAGAAATAAAAATGTTTTGTTTACACGGGTTATGTATTACCAGAATTTGAGACCCTGAGCGCATAAGAATTCGTAACTCACCCTTTGAAGAACCACCCTAATAAATTCAATTAAACGTGAAGAATGGAGTCGTTCGACCGTCCATCGCGACTAAAATTACAAACATAATTTGTTGTCGTTGTGAAAAATAATATCTTCTTTGAAAATCTTTCTCAATAAGCTGTAACTGAATCGCTTGGCTGGATAACTTGAAAATCTAGTACTCGACGAATAACCGCAAGGGAGATTTCACTTAATCTTCCCATCGAACGAAAGAAATTTCCTGCGGGAAGATCGAGTAGCCTCTGATCCAATTAACGCCCCAGGGAGACCCTACAGGGGAGTTTCTGAATTATCCCAAAGCATGGTTAGTGGGTAAGGTCAGCTGCGTTTGCCACCATGTCCGCCTCCACTTTTCTCTTCAAGGTTTCTCGGGGTAACCTCGTTACTTTCTCTCTCGCTACGAAGGACACAACGTAATCAAGCCTAATTCGTAATTTCACCAGGATGGAGGTCGATGATTGACGGGAGAATAAGATTTTCTCGTTTTCCCGCGAGTAAAGAAACAGGAATAAAAGAAACCGTCTCTGTCGTGACGTCGGTGAAAAATTTCAAGGAATCAATTCCGTTCTCTCGATGAAAGAGTCTTACTGCTGATCCGACTACCGTAACTTGCATTTTAATTTGCATTGCATTTTCCTTCGTATCCTATTCCAGTTTAAACATACTCGAATCCCGCATAATTCCACTTACTTTGGATTCGATTATGAAAATGTATGTTTATCGAGCTAATTTTCTGCATGTACAAATTGTTCCGTTTCAAGCGGAATTGTTCGACATTTTATGAGGGGAAGAAGCTTTGAAAAAAATGTTTTTACATAAGATATTTGATTTTATTCTTCAAAAGAATAAACTTCGCAGAAAAATGTCATCTTTATCCTTTAAATCAACTAAGGGACCATAAAGTTATCTGGTATTGACAATAACTCGACTGGATGTTTATGAAGCGTTTCACAAACGCTGCGCGTATACCATTTTATAACGACAGTAAATGCGTGAAGATATTTCTTATTGAAGCGTCGTTGCATAAACGTCTCTGAGGGAACAGGGAAAACAGCGGACGGCTTAAATGTAATATTATTTCCACGTTCTTCCAACAGAATTTTATTTAGTGGGGCAAAGATGTAAAATACCAGTCTGCAAAAGACTGACACAGCCAAGTTGTGTATATTCAAGGTAGTGGAGTACAATAGGACTTTAAGATTTTGTTTTTTAATGCTGCAAAAGATATGGTATACATCCATTATTTTTATTTTAAATGAAACTTCATACGATTCGAAATAAACGTAAAAGATGATGTCGTTTAAGCGTTCACAGCGACTACGTTTATTAAAAAATAAAATCCCCTTTTGTTAAACCCGTTATTGTACATGTTCGCGATCTTTTCTTTGAAAATTTACTGTCATTCAGCAAGGGATTAAACGTAACGGAGAATTTCCATAAAAAGTTTTAAAAAAAGATGAAAAGATACACTGACCCAGAAAGCTGTGGAATGTATTAATACGCCTCTGAGAGTGAGGTCAAAGTAGCTGCACATAGAATTTTCGACGCTCTAGTCGGATGCTGCACAGAAAGGCCTCTCTGTGGCGCTCGAAAGACAGCCATTGGTCCGGGAAAGTTGCAATTTCCGAGCGAATAGGCCGCTCAACGGGTTGCAAAAGTCGATTAACCGAGCTGACAAAGAGCTAGCTGTGCGACTCCTGACGTGCTCGTCCAGCCTCGGCAAACTATTAATATTTCGATTAAGTCGACGCGTAATTCGATCATGTCAGTTACGGCGGCTGAGATACATACAAACAATGTACGAGAGACACTTTCAACGTTCGTAAATGCCAATAGAAAATTTCCGGATTGCGTCATCAACGACCCGTTCGAGCTTTAATAACCCTAATAACACTTACTCTGGGCGAATCGTCAGCTACTTCTGTCGACACAGTCCTTTAGATGCAGGATTCTTTTACTTCGATGATAAAATATTAAACTACAAATATAATTCGACTATGTAGAGTAACATATTTCGTGCGTACGCAATTTACTACTGGCTCGGCTAAATTCTATTTTCTATGATGCGATCAGAAAGCTTCGTGTCTGACGAAGAAAATGTGTTTCTGTTGACGGAGCCTACGTAGAAAAATAAGGCAATTCATTGGTATTTTCATCTATCCTCGATACAGCTGCGTAAAAAGAAGTCCGGTTTATATTTGAATGACTCTTGTATAACGCGAAGAAGGATTACGCAGTTTTGATGTCTCATAACACCTACGTTTAAATATTGTTGTTGCAGAAAAAATTGGTTTCCGGATGCGATGACTATCGCAATTATTAAATTGAAATTAGGCTAACGATAGTACGAGCGATAAGATTAAAAGCAACGCGAGGTAAACGCAGCAATCTCGGACCATGAGCGTTAATTTTCTTCCGTGTGTACAACTAAACAATGCTTTCATGTCACCTGGACTCGTGTCCGTGTCTCAAGTCCGTTCATCATTTCCGTTGTTATTCGTGATGGAAACAAAAATAAAACGAGAGGGAGAATAACGTATCGCGGGCGGAGAACAATAGTCGACAATCGGGGAAGCCGATAATGACGACAGAAATGATTTTCCGTCTTCAACGAGTTCTTTTCGCGTGCGATGCGCCGTGCAACGTTCATCTGTCTGCTTTTTGTTCCTCCTACCCTTTTTTTTTTCCGCGATGACGTGATGCATCCAGTGTACGCTATTTATTCCTTCGATCTGAAATCAGGAAGAACAGTGTCGAGCATCGAGACATCAGGAGTCATGAAGAGTCTACTATCCATCGTCGGCGTTGTCGCCATATTGGCGCTTTCTGTAAGCAAAGATCTTCGTTAACATATTTCGACTCTTCAGGTTTCAGCTTCATCTTTTCAAGTCCCACAAATCAGGGATTATAACTGTTGTAACCAAAATAGATATATTATTAAATTCTCAGTCAAAAGTAATGTTTATTTCTATATTCCAGAGATGAATAAAAGTCTATCCGAATAATAGATAAACTGGCACACTGTACGTTAACAGATCGTAAGCTATTCATCTTGTATTCGCCGTTTGATATTTTTTCCATCCCTAACCAATTCTCTTGGTCACATTGCCATCTCACATTCAATTTTCGAGGCCCAGTTACTATGTAAATCAAAATTTGAAGTGTCAACAGTCCACCGACCTAGTCCTGTCATAAGTTCTGTTACAAGTGTGGAGTTCATCATAAAAAAAAAAGAAACATTGTCATCTTTAATTCCCACCAGGATTCACAGTTTTATGTCGAAACAGTCTAATATACACACAAGCTTTCCTGTTAATATTTTAATGAGAAATCCGAAACACTCTAACCAGTTTAAAATCATTCATAAGTGGATCGAAATGTAACGAACCAGAAAGCAATTGTTTTGTGGGGCGTGTCCCATCAAGGTGTGCCGCGCCTTCACTTTTGTGAAACAGGTGTTAGAGCCGGGGCCAAAGTCTACTGAACGGATGTGCTAAAAGAAATGGTAAAACTTGTAATAACGAGCGTGATTCTCTTCCAGAGGCAAAGGTTCGTTTTCCAAGAAAACTTCGCCCCAGTTTGCAAAGCAAAAGCAAGCGTACAGAATGGAACAATGACCTATAGGTCATTTCATTCGGGGACTTGTCCTCTGGTAGCCTAGATTTGAATTTCGTTCGTTTTAAACTGTGCTGAGAAACAGAAAGAGTAGTCTATAAGATTGTTTAAAAGTTAAATAAACAAAAATTGATAGACGTTCAACAGCGAGATATATTAGCAAATAACGTATCTTTAAATTATTGAAATCTGTAGGCGATTCGTTTCTCTGCATAATTACTCGAATTGCTTGTGAAGTAGTTTTTATATCGTCACAACCGAAAGAGACATTTAGGTGGCTACTTCTGTATGACACGCTTTCTATATACCACTCTCCTCAGACTTGCAACAGAACCTATCTACCATCGTATTTGCGGCAGATTTTGTGACAAGGTTAGGTAAAGTACGCTTAACATTTATTGGAGGTTACTGCATCTTCGTTGGCGTTCGATGACAATCAGACGGAAGCTCCTAACCAGCTTAGGGAGAGACGAAGTCCACAAGGGGGTTTCCAAGATTGTGCTCCTCCACCAAACGGCCCACCCCCGAATGGACCACCACCAAATGGACTTCCTCCATGTGGCCCACCGCCATCCGAACTTCCATCTGGACTTTCAACCGCCGCGAATGGACCAATGGTATCTACTGAGAAGTCGAGGATGAGAAGAACCTTAATACGTCAACTCGCTGCACAGGGGGGACAAGAGGGACAGGGTGGACAAGGAGGACTGAGTATTCCCATGCCGGGTGGTGGTGGAATGGACATGGGCAACATGGGCAACATGGGAAACCTGGGGAACATGGGTATACCCAACCCAATGGGAGGAGGTGATCTTAATTCTTTTGGAAAGTACTAATTTCACAAGTACAACAGAGAAATGACAATTGTATATTTTTCTTTAGGTGGTGGACGTAACATGGGATGAACGAAAACCAAATATTTTTCAGAGTTACAGGGTCGATAATGTAACGTAAAACCGGTTCTTGTTTGTACTTTGTAGATTTTTGATGTTCAGACAACGAAATAAATACTTTGGCAGTAAAAACTCAGTGTTCGTAAATTTTCTTGTACGCAGGATGCAAATCACGTTCGCATAAACGTTTGTTCCACTTTCAAATTTCCTTCCTGATTTGTCTCGCGATTAGGATTATGCAAATTATTGCAGACACAAATTCTATTTAAGGTTTTTATATATGGTCGCGTTGTTATGTTAACTTTGGCAAATCGCAATGTATACAAAACGTAACGTTCACTTTAATTTGTTAAGGATAAGGAAGCGTTGATGGTTTAGTGTAAATAAAAAAAAATTGTGAAGGCATTTTTTATTAACACCTACAGTGGCAGACATACTAATGAAAATATTTAAGAAGCTGAAAATGCGTTCTTATAAAATTGGTAACCATATCATTGAACATTTCCGATGGTATTTATTTTTATAACCTGACGAAAATTCACCAATCCTATCCAGACTTTGTTTTCTGTAACACCTGATCTTCAGAATTAGCTTTTGAATGTCTTAGTGAAAATCTCTGTTACCCATACGTGGGTTACGTGACGATCAACGTGATAAAGGCAAACCATATTGTACTTGTGCCTAAAACTGATTTAATGACTAATAAAGTATTTTTTAAATAAAACAATCTGAGTTCACACTATTAATTAACACAATATTTAGACCGTCTCTATTGAAGAACACTCCCTTTCTTTGACGAGACGCAGGCGATGAAAGCCGATCATTTACCTCCTGAAAATATCTGCTGACTGATCAGAAACTCCCACGAAGGGTTGATAGGGTTTCACCTTCGACCTTTTCATCAATTTCACCGCGTGCGATGCTTTAACTTTCCAGGGAATTAATCCCAAATGCTAGTTACGGAGATCGAGTTATCATATTTAACGTAGTTAGTATCCTCCATCGGGATTAGATCTCAATTATCGTTCGCTTTATTCTTGCAGTGTGTGATCTGCGTGAACGCCAGAGCTACGATGCAAACGGCTCCATGTGGGCACCGTGTGGTCTGCAGGTAAACTACTTAAAATATTCAAATACCGTGTGCTTCCAAGAGAAGTTTCTACTTGGAGAGATCTGTGTGTCAGTTCATCAAACGTAATCGAGAGGTTGTGTGCGCGTGTAACCTTTAGCACTTTCTGAATGACGTCTATTTTGAAACCTAGACGGAGATGGTTAATGCTATTTTAAATGGAAATTTTCTTGGCTCGTACGTTGGTAGTTTTTCAAAATGAAGTAAAAAAGACATAGTCATTTGTCGCAGTCAAGAATTTGCATTTAATAAACGAATCTAAAAGAAGAAATAATTATGACGATCTTCAGCTCAAACATAATCAAACCAGAGCTATTATTGAAAGTATATTAAATTGATGAAACCTAGTAAATAAACAGTCAGTACCATTTGGTACTGATTTCATCTTTTGTTCGATTTCAATAAATTTATTTCTATTTAATTTTATGAAGATCAAAATTTTGTTGAATACTATTTTAGTCTTCACGATGGAGGTCTCTGTTCTCGTATGTTGCAGGCGCTGTTTCGTCAAGACGATACAAATGGCCGTTTCGCAGAGGCTTCTACCTCTGAGATGCGTCATATGCAGAGCGAAGATCCTGCGTTTGAAGCAGACTCTAATTCCACGGGACGTAAGTAGCGTTGATAATTATGCGACTTCCTTTTCCAACTTCCACGTCAACTATTTAATATTTCACTGAACTGTACCCGTCAAGAGACCTTCTCACAAGGGAAGTATCGCGAGTGATCGTACGTGATTCGATTAAAATTAAAAACAAATCTTTCTTGTTTTATTCGCGTACTTAACTACCAAATGCAAAATGTTACTCCAAACGTTTCACATTTGCGTGAAATGGCCCTCAAACTCGTTACACCCTTTCCAGTCACTGTTGCAGAATTTTTACTCGCACATGGTGTAGACGACTCTTGGACATCCAAGAATTTCATTTACGTTTGGGAATCGAGGTTTAGAAACACGAACACGGCAACGCTAGGTTCGCGTTGATCCATTCGATTCCGGTAGCGTAAAATTGCGGGTAATTGGAGCGGACTCGGAAAGCCCTCGTCGCCTTTCAACAGATCTGAATGCCACGTCGCGCGACGTATGACCACTCGGTTCGAAGCTGTATTCATAAATATCGTCGGACCTGAATGCGCAGTCCGCTCTTTTTGCATTTCTCTGCAATTAATCTCGCGAAATTTCCGCCGTGTACACTACAAACGACCCGTAAATAATTCGTTCGGCCCCCTCGAGTATGCTTCTTCGATTAAAGCCGTGGAGTACTTCGCCGTTGCTTTAAACGCTAACCGTCCAATAATAACGAAAGCCAAAATTAGTCGAAAATTCCGTAAGTTCGTTTCGCTGCGCTACCTTTGCGCAATTGGATCGTATTGAGCGTAGAAATTAATTCTACGTATTTCTATTCATCCATTTAAACCTTAGGTTAAACACAGTCTGTCTGACGCATTGGTTCTTGGTGTGGGCACCTTGTAAACAAGTGATTCTCTATCTGATTTTGAGGTGTGATGATCGCTTCGCATGGACGAATCAAAAATGTGTTATTTGAACGTGTTTATCTGATATTTTCAAACATATATCTTTCGAACGGATAAACACTGAACCAAGCATTAAAAAATATTCATAAAAGGGTGCCATTTGTGATCTTGCATGTGCCACTTACCCTTTAACAAAGTCTGATAATATTGCCCCATTATGACTGAAATTGTTTTACAGAGAAAATTAACTTATTTTGTAACCGTTGCTTGCAGCATCTCCAATTTGAAAATAAACGTTCTTACATCGTTATCATTACGAACGGCTCGTTAACAATGGCTCGTTATTTTCCGTAGTACTCGATGTCAGGGAAGTCCTGGGTGCTGCCACAGAGTGCGTCAGAGTACAACATGGGCACGGGTGTGTCTGTAGGGGTGACTGGTCCAGGTGGCAGATGGCTTCCTGGAAATGTACCAGCCTCTGCGTCTCTGTATTCTATGGCGAGCGGCTCATCCTCTATTTCTGGTTCGTAAACGTTGCAGATAGATTACGCAAGGTAGACAGTAATCAACACGTCAACGTAAGACGGTTCTATACCGAGAAGCTACTAATTGTGAAGAAATCCTTTATTATGGATGTTTCAACAACTTTTAAAACCTTTCCGACACCTTTTGCAAAACTAAAGAATTATTGCTACATTTATAAAATGATGCACAAAATTAAAATGTTATATTGTTATATGATATCAAAGAACGTGGTTAGACTTGTGAACTACACTCTATAAGAAAAAATGTATTCGAATGATATTGGACGAATACATACATATCAATTCATTCGTGACGCACACTCAATCGAGCAGTCATAAATTCTTATCTGACGTACAACTAATAAAACAAAATCTTTTATTTATTACTCGGAATTTGTACCGAAGGTAAAAATGTTAACAAGTAAGTTGCTCGTCTTCGTGAAGAAAAATAATTATTTAATCAGTATTTACTTTGCTTTCTCGATAACTCTGAAAGAAATTGTACAAATTATACTTAAAATCGAGACAAAGCAATATGGATGCGAAGATTAAGTAGTACAGTTCTTTCGCAGTTTACTTCGTTCATGCGACACCTGAAATAGATTTCTAACAAAATAAGTACCGGTAATATACATAAATAAATATAATATAAATAAATTCCACGCCAAATCGATCACTTTCAATATATCACTTTCGATATCAGGAACACTGAAGAAATTGAAACATATTGTAGTTCACATAAATTAGCATTTCGCTATTTACGAATATGTTACAAAAATATAAGATGTAAAAGTATGATTTTTTTAAATTCGATCAAACTTAGATATACTATATATTTTAAACAATTTAAAAAAACGATGAAACGAAGACTTAGCCCCACTCTTCGTCCTCTCCAATTTCTCGTGAGCTACGATATATTTCAATTCACTCAAGACCCCTGACCTCAAGTACAGAAAACGATCGATTCGGCGTAGGATGGTACGTTTACCCTAATTGAAAGAAGACGAGTAAACAAAGGGACATGTCTAACGTTGCTTCGCCTTTATTGGCGCAGGAGTGTCTTCCGTATCTTCGTCGAGTTCGTCTTCTGCAAGTAGCACAGGAAGTTCCAGTCTAGGGAAACCTACAAGGGTGAGGCAACCTTCTGGAGCGACCTTAAGACGTTCGCAGACGCAATCTATGAAACTGAGGATTCAGGTATGTCGAGCGTGGAGAAAGAATGCTTGGAAACAGTGATTTTCTCTTTTGAGTGACAGTTTTTGTTTCACAATAAATTTAAGTGACGGTGTCATCCCCGCTCAAATAAAAATCGTTATCGCCCCTCAGTTTTTAAGCAAGCTGACGATTCGGGTTTTGTCACTTGAAAGCGGGAATTACTGTATATCGAGTTCGCTAACTTTGTGTACTTTATCGACGCATACCAGGAGTATCAGGATCCTGTTCAGCAAGTTACCGAAGAGGAGGAAGTCATGAGGGAAAACCGGGAACGTAGATTGCCACCGATCAAGGAGTTCCAAAGGGACTATCGCGCAGGGAAAGCCTCTACTAGGATACGGTAATGGGCCAACGTTTTTCTACCTCCGTACTTGGAGAACGATACAATTAAGGGGGCTGTTATTGAGAAATATGCGAGGATATTCTCCACTCCAGACGCGGAATACATGTAGCGAATATAATACAGTAGAAACTCGATTATTCGAGCACCATTACCCGAAAAGATTCTTGAATTCTTCCCACGACAATTGCATATAACTTCTTAGAGATCTTAAGAGTGGTGACAGTACAATTATATTGGGCAAAAAATTCGATATTGACAAATCAATTGCTATTGAGAACTATTTGCAACAGTTTCTACTAATAGGAAAACTGCTAAAGCGGCGAAAAATGAAATTTTTCTATACCTTTAAAAAGTACAGTTTTCTGTTAGTTCACGGAATGGAGATAAAACGAAATAACACCGTATCATGGACCTATTATATGTCGAAAAGCTATATTTAAATTTGTTATTTGTAATTTTTATTATCGATATTTGTGTTGTGTTTTTTTTGAAATCTTTATTAGAAAATCGACATGAAACATGTAAAACATTTAATTAGAAACTTCCCTTATCCCAGCGCCCATGTTCCCCGATTAATTCTGATAATCGAGGTTCTACTGTACTAGCATAAACCGAACGACCGCCGACGAAGTAGCCCCGGTGTAGTCGAAGTGTTGGGAAACGCTGATTTATACTATCCACTGACAGCTGTGGCTCCATCCTTTTGCAACGTATATTCGAAATTTTTGGTCCGCAGATGTGCTCAAAAAATCGTAACCCAACTAGAAACATCACCGAGTCCTAGAGGCTCGACCAGCGGGGCAACCTCGACGTCTGGGTCGTTAGCGAGAACGTCGACGAAGAGGCCGCAATCGACACCGAAGTTGTCGGTGGTTCAAGAGGTCCAGAAATCAAAGAAGGAGAAAGAGAGGGAGAAGGAGCGCGAGAAGGCTGAGAAGGCTCGTCAGAAGGAGGAGGAGAAAGCGGAGAAAACCAGGCAGAAAGAAGCTAAGAAACTGGCGAAGGAGGAAAAGAAGAGAGCCAAGAAGGAAGCGAAAGCGAGGCGAAAGGAGGCCGAGGAGGCCCTCCTCAGGGAAGAAAAGTAGTCTTCTGTCGAGTAGGAACAACGTAGAGTTCAGAGTGATCAATAACGTATTCCAAAAGCCCGGGCGAGACTCTCTCGATCCCAATGGAACGAAGGACTTTGAATACACTTGATCTCTTCACTCCCGGGATTCGTTCGAGATGAACCGCAAACCCGGTCGTTACCGAAATCAAACATTCACGTGCGTTTTGTAATTCTTAGAGTCCAATTTAGAGGTAGTTTTCTTCCCGAGACGTGTCTGCTTCGATTCCTTCGAATCGAGACTGGACGGGGTCGCCGTTGAACTAGCGTTTCATTCCAGGGAGAGATGGTCTATTTACCGAGCGTACTGTTGCTTCGTTCGTCGGGCGATTAGAATAAGGCGTTTTAACGTTTTATAAAAGAACAGGCCAACGCGTTTTGCGGCGCATCTCGAACCACCAACGATCCCGGGGGAGCAGCGAACGTATAGCGACGGTAGAGAAGTATACCTAAGAAAACCTAGAAGCGGCCAAACTTAGCAACCTGTCATATCGAGTTATTGCGGACTAATAATACTAATCGATAGGAAGACTCGAGAGCGTAGCGGCTACGTTGCTATTATTTGATTAATCGCGTAAATCTTCACCCTACCCAACTCCCTTTGTCCTAAACGTTTCCTTTTTAGGAACAGTAACCGCGTGACGTTTGTCGTTACTTTTTTTATAGGCCATCCGTCAGTTCGTACTTAATGTCTATCGTTTTAGCGGTGAAGGAACGCCAATCCGAGACCTATTTTTCGAATCTGCTTCACAGACAATACTTTGTGGACGTAGTTTGTTTCGCAGTTGATCAACGCCGACTACCAAGAACACGCGGGAACGTTTATTAACGATGAACCTGTTCCTCCAGTCGTAGTCGGTTCGAACTAGCCATCGTTCCATCGATAGATAAACCAGGTCTCATTCATCATTTTTCGGATACGGAACGTAAAACGGCAGGTTCAACGAGGAAAATCAAACGCGACTATTCTGCTAAACCTCGCTCGACGGTATTGAATATCAAATGTCTGTACTAATTTTAGCGATTACCTAGAGATAACGCGAAAACGTCTCGGTAATTATTTACGATTGTACCTACCTCACCGATTTCAATGACTTTGAATTACGTTGCACGTGGGATGCCTTTTAGTATCTTTTTGTAATGAAAAGAATATCACTCTATCTCTTAATTTCCACGATATACCTTCTTGTTGCAAATATGTAATGAGTTTTCAACACTTTCGTGTCAGCAGGATTCATGTAAGTTACTGTCACCGTCACACGTTATATTGTTTGGCGATGCACAGTAAATCATAACGATCATTGCCGTTTTTTGACTCAATCGTCTGTTTGATATGAAACGATATATGTAAATAAATATGATTTTGTGTACTTATTTCGAAGACGTAGTCGAATACTTTTTATTTTATACTGTATAATATTTTCTTACTAGTCTTCTATCAAATATAATACTTTTATATTTTCACTCGCCTCTCTACGTATTTGATATTTCTTTTTTACATAATAGCATGCAACACAGTCTCCTAAATGTACAGCAACTTTACAAGATTTACACATGAAATTTGTCATTTTTCTCATCTTAGGTGAGTAACGTGCATAACATCTTTTTCTTCTACGTTTGTCACTTGAGGGAGTCGAAACCGGTCGATGCTTTTTCAAGTCTCGAGAAAGTTTCTGAAGTGGATCATGATGTCGAGTTTATGTTGATGTGGCAAATTCTAAAGTCTCGCGTATGACATCGCGTTGGCGTCGCCGAACGACAATGTGTTGTGGTCCTTTCCGAGCACGTTGGATTACCTATTGATGGGTTTACGTTTGGATTTTGCAAACAAACCTCGATACGAAACACAGAACGAGGATTTAAGTATTTCGTTTAACGATAATGTAACGAAGCTCTACGAGTTTTTAGCAATATGCAATGATATAACTAGACTATTGAACAATTTAATTTAGACTAATTATACAAACATGTGCATACTAGAATGGGTTTGATGTCAGTAAATATTACCGACGTATTCTGGATCTTGATTTTTACTAACGAATGCAAGACGAACTATACCTCGTCGTGCATATTGGATTATGCTACAGTTATCAGCAAATGTTTACACGCAAAATCAACTCACAATTCTGCCCAGAATCATAGGATTCTGATTAATATATTTCGGAAAAACGAGAACGAAAAGCATTTTTTCATCAAGAAAAAACACTCAAAAACTTCACCCCATCAACATGTTTCATGGTCATTGAAATCGAAGAGCTATTACGACGATTGTAAATAATTACCGATGTTTCTTTCGTTTCCATCCCCCGCCAATTTGTTTCACGCTCTCTCCACGAGGAAAGAGTTCGTCCCATTACGGGGAGGCGACGAGCTTCACGTACACGAAGATAGCCTAATCGAGGAACGCGCGAATGAGCGTCCGTTTCACGACGTCGATAGTTTTAAATTATAGTACAATACGATAGGTAAACGTCGAAGCAGAGTTTCGAGTGCAGTGCGTGTCTCGTTACTGACTCCGTGATTACCGTAGATGCGTAGCGTTTCACGAACCGATTCGTTAATTCCTCTTCTCTCGCTCGAGACGCAGATCGAGAGACTCGATTAATCGATCAACTACTTACTCGACTAACACCCCTTCGCCAAGTTACCCTAATCGCTGTTTAAGATGTCGTGACCCTTTCACTGGGCAAAACGAAGCGAAACGATTTGTTACGAACACTTGCGTCGAAGCCTATAGCGTTTGTTATTATTTATTATAATACAATGCTGCCTCTTTTTTTTTTTTTTTTACATCTGCGATAAGGATACTTGGAACGTAATTATGTTCAACATTGTATATGTTTCTTCGACTCGAGCGATTCGTATCTCATTAACCTTTTTGTGTCTTGTCTCTATTTCTTGAATGCGAATTTGGTAGATAGCGATTCTTACCTCGAGCTCAAGTCGAACGATTTGTGATTTTAGAATGAAATTTTTACTCCGGGTGGGAGTCGACATTATATTATGGTTTACACTTCGCGACAAAGTAATGGGATATCCTTGATCATTTTCTGGTTCTCAAAATTGATTGTATGTAGACAAGTTTTATATACAGGCGTGTAAACAGTGATCCTTCACAGCCATTGTTCGCATAGTTTTCCAAGTTTTTGTTTATGTGATAAACGAGTGCAAGAAAATAGTAGGACACGTACGATATAAATACGACTTTCATTTATTTTCAGTAATGTGTTTACTTTCCTTTCACCTCTAACTTTAAACTTTTTTGTAATGATTTGTACAGTAATTTGAAATTCCTTCTCGAATCAAACTGTTGGCTCTTGGACAAAATCATATTGTTTACAATTTTTGTAGATATCACAAGGTAGTTATGCACAAACATTTCATTTTTATTCAAGTATGAGTATTTCGCCAAACAAGATAAAACGTTCATATTATTCCTTTCAGTATAATTCTGTACCACCTTGTCTATGTACTCGGATCCGTTATCACGCTGAAAGACAAATTCGTCTCCATAGGGCGACAAGCGTCCAGTCAAAGGGTTACAGAACGATAGTATAAATATATACGTAATATTATGCGCGCGGAGCGTCGTTTAAAAGGCAAATGATTCGAATATCACGAGTATACGATTAACGATAACGAGACTTAATCCGCGGTTAGATCTCTTTAAAACTGTTCACCCTCTGCCCATACTTTACCCCTTTTCCGACCCTTCGGTGCCGCGAGCGACGCTGGATAAATCAATGCTCGTTGGAATTAATAACGTTTAATCGATATTTTATATTATTAGACGAACCGGCGATACGTATTTCGGTGTAATTACTTCAAATGTCGTTCGACGGTGAAGACTTGTTACGAAGCGACAGCAAGCGTCGCTCGTGTGCCAGCTCGAGCAGCTAAAAATCAAAAGCAATTTTTTTTACAACGCGCGACGATGACTTAGAAAGAAAACAAAAAGATGCGATATCAAAATTAGAGGAAGAAGCACAGGCGAAAAGAAGGAAGTAAAGAAACTAACGAGAAAGCAACGATCAACCGTTCGACAAATGATAAACTCGCGAAGGATCAAACGTTACTTGTCTAAATTTCTCGTAACTTCGTCCCTCTGCTTGTTTCTACGCTCCCCGTTTGCGTCTCTTTACTTCTTACGTCCCGCGTGTGTTGAAACGTTCGTCCTCCTTCGACTTGACCTAATTTACGCACTGCCGGTAACTTTTTCTTCTTCAACGATCGGGGATGGAAGTTGGGTGTCATCGGAAGATTCGCCGTGTTTCCAGGGCCGACAAGAACGATATCCCGGTTTCGGACGTAGCGTTCTCCGCAGCCCGGGAGTTTCTCGCGAGCTGACGGTCGAGAAAGTCTCCAAGTTCTTCTTTGTTAGGAACGGGCTCGTTACGCCATTTTTAGACGAACCCCATCGAGGGTGAACGCTTTAAAACTCCTGTGACGCGTTCGATGGAACGCGACAAAAGAACTCGACGAGCGGAATGTGTTTTATCCGAGGAGAAAGTCGCGCACATATCAGTAGAACCTAGTACATTTTAATTGGCGTCATTGCTTCAACTTCATCCCCGAGGCGTTTGCTTCAACTTCTTTCTCGAGTCTCTCTATCGAACTCGTCAGAGTCAGGGATTCAACGACTTCGGGCGATGAAGTTGGCTCGACAACGCTACCAATTAGCGTGTAATGTAGACTGTCAATTATTACCTGTTACATCGGTTTCATCTGTAACGAGTTCAACATTGTCGACGTTTCGCGAAGAGGAAGGCATCGTGGTTAGCGCTGATGATTCTCCGTGACGCTAAGAACTGTTTAAACGTGTGCTGGTTCCCTTACGAAGAGGTTTCGAATCTCGTGGGGCGGGATTGGTTCCTGATTTCAAGCGACGACATCGATAGATCGTGATTTCGAACCGAAACCGCGGCTAATAAGGCCGAGTTCCTCGCGCTGCACGAACGTAAACAGTGTTATTCGGATCAAGCGCGAAAATCGTGATCCAAGACGAATGAACACTTTGCACTTCGGTGCGTTGTATCATGAAGCGTATAGAATGTTTCCTTTGAAACTGCCAATAAATCTGGCGATCTGGAATACGTGTCTGCCGTGACAAGTAATTGCCAAGGTCTCTTACTGCAGAGAATTAACGAGGCCTATGCGTTAGTGTGATTCCAAACACGAGGATTTCTGTGACCTGTTTTCCAGTTAAAACACGATCGAGAGCAAGAGGAAAACAGTGTCCCAAAGCTGAGAGAAGCACATCGAGAGAATCCTCGCGTGTTCAGAGCTGAACGACTTTGAATCATTTCGTTGCATTCGCGAGACTTTCTCGAAACCGATAGAAAGATCGAAGAGTAAGAAGATAGGAAAACCGATGTCGAACGAGTGGCTGAAAAATTACGAAGAGAAAGGCAGAGTGAGAGAGGAAGAGAACGAATGTTTTCTGCCATCGTAAAGTCAATTTTATCGCGTACGTGTGTATATGTGGCGGTTTGAGTGTGCGCGCGTGCGCATCCAGCAACACGGGCGCTGCAAGTACAGCAAAGACTGGATAAGTGCACGAAAATCGGGACCCAAACATTGCATTTATCCGGTTGAGGTTTCTATTCTGTGTTTACAACGTAGAAGAGGCCAAAGATTGAAAGAAAGAGAGGTCCGAGGAAAAAAGCAGTCGTCAAAAAAGCGTATCAATCGATTAGGATCATATTACATTTATCCAGTCAATCCTGTCTTACACTTATCCAGTCTTTACTGTAGATACTTCTGGTGAGATTCACCAGAAGCTGGTTCGTTAGTCTCCGGTACAGCGGTATGTGGTCAACGATTCGAAGGCAGAACAAGGACGTTAAAGTTTTGGGATTTTCACGGCCGCTGTTCGTACTATTGCCGTAACCCGACAGGAAGCAATTGGCCACCCAAGGTCTGCGTTATGTTTAGCTCGTTTTCCCAATACGCTGTCTCAACCGCGGCTATGCGCATAGCCGTAGGACAAGCGACGAGGAAACGTGCTATATCCCTTAAGCCACGTACGCACTTGAAAAATCTTGCATAAAGCAATCTACGCTAGGTATTTCAATGTTACGGAATTAGGTAAGCTTAGACTGGGAAACAACCACAAGTACGAACGAGGCTTGAAGCTACGGTTCGTACGGAGAATGTTTTACATGCGAGGAAACAAGCTACAACAACCAATTCGTTGCGACCTGGTTATAAGCTAGGTTTCCGGATGTTATTTGTGTTCGTATTAAACGTTATGACGTCTGAGTACTACTTAGTCTAGTCTGTTTGGTTCATCAGGGATTAATGATGCACCGATATTGAAACGGTTATCGTACACGTTGCCGTGTAGATACATTCCCGATGTCTGACCACCAAAGGGGTATTCTACCCGAGTGCTCGATCGAGGTAATACGAGGTGAGCCGCGAGAAACAGAACACTTGAATATCTCTGTTGGGTTCGAATTTCAAACTTCGAAAATACGAAAAATATTAAGAACGGAAATGTGATGGTTAAACGAGACGAACGTGGTCGTTATAATTTTTTGCTCTTTAGTAATTTTTTCATGAACTATCAAGGAGATAGTAATAATCTTTGATACGGACACGATTAGCATTAGAAACTGGTAACAGTAACGTCGATATTGTAAAGTACTTTATTAAAACGAAGGGGAACCGTCTGAAAGTGTTAACAAATGTCTTGTTGGAAAGACTAGTTTGGTAAGGAGACTATTTGAAAGAAAGAGGAAACTGATATACCAGAGACACAAATCGTTGGCAATAATACGCGACATAAAGAAGACAAAAGAAAGTAGCTGAAGGGCGGACGATCGAGTGGCGTCTTTAATCGATACAGCGCGACGCTTATCGCGTTAATGCGTACAGAGAACAACTTTATTGTACTTTATCGTCTAAGAGAGATTTGTAGAGAGTTTATATTAGGCCAATTGTCACAGCGAGAGTTTTATGGTAGCGATGTTTTTCCCAACTAGTGCTGCGGCTAACCGTTCAGACTATTCGAGGTCGAAGTCTCTGGACACTTCTAGCTCTGAAAACAGTTGATTCCTGTTGCTATCGGGCATTAGCCCTTCGTGTTTCTTCTATGTCAAATTCTCTTATTGCGACTCATAACAACAGGTTTTTGGTGCTTCAGATTTGATGTGATTTTCTTTTGGGCGCTGTTACTTTAATACGTTAAACTGGCAGATTAATATTCACGGAAGTTTCTACGAGTCTAAAATTTTATTTGGATTAACATTGGGAACTGCATAATCTAATATTTGTCGGAATACAGTAGAACTCCATTGATCCAGCATGTTCGGGACAGTTCGGAATGATCAAATATGGCGGATTATTGGTCAAAAGAAAGATGGCAATTTGAATAAACGATTTAGTATAGTAATTAAAATTAACAAAAATTAATGAATTATATACATAATTATAATATAATTAACTAATTATATAATATATAATTATATATATATATATATATATATATATATTTATTATATTATTTTTGTTAATCGGTTTAATTATTATACTAAATCGTTCTTTTACTAGATTTATACACCAACGTGCCGATGACGATGTAGCGATCTTGAACAGCCTGAACAATCAGCCATAACTATAGACACAAGAGATCGGGTCGCGTTCCAGCGTAATACTCGCGTAACGATTGCCGTTGATGATGAATTCGTGTTTGTACGATCGTTTGATAACACACCATCCGATAAGAGGATACCTCGAGTGCCAGTACAAAAGATGCTCGCGTAGTCCGTAACGATTTTGCTTTGTTGCGCGCGAAATTCATCGTAGAGCACCTCCTGATTGGCCAAACTCAGAACCATCGGACTGCTGATACGCCTAATTTCGTTTCATCGAGAGTGAACTCGATCTAACCGACGCTAGATAATAATTACATTCGACGCGATATTTGGACAAAGGGTAACAGAATCCAGCATCGAAAGATCCCAAACGCTAAGAAGCCTCTTCCGCGATGAAAAATCAAAACTTTCAAACTTATACTCTGTATCTACGACTTCGTCGTACTCGTGGAGGCCGTTATGCATTCTATCACTGTGGTCTGATTATATAGCGGGAGTTCGCTTCTTAGTGAATCTTTCGACGAAACAGAAAAAAAAAAAACGTTAAAAGCGAAGCAGAACGTTTACATCGCATCGACGTTCGACATTTAGAAAACGAGTAGATTTATCCTGGTTTTTCTATTGCGCGTTTCACGGAAAAACGGATTCTCTTCTTCGAGACGCGCATCTTAGGTAACACCAGCGACGACGTGGATAAAAAAAAAAAAATGACTTGAAGGGTTGATTTTATCGAGTCTATTTTTAGTAATTTTGTTTAACGTCGAACACGCGAGAGGAGGAGAAACTTCGTCTACAAAAATTGTATTACGCGATGTGTTACGATCTGTACGAACAGACAGTGAATATGAACAAAAATCAAATAAAACGTTACAATGAACGTTCGTTAAACCCGTTCAATCCCTTCATCCGGTTTTGCTCCTAAAACGTTCCGTCCTTGAGGTTGTACCTAGTCAACAGACCAACAAAAAAATTTAATCTTTTCACAGCAAAGAGATCTTTAAGTACATCTTTGCGAATACATTTATATTTTCTTTTATAAACATTATTAAGTTAATTCGTTGAGATGCTACGGTCGATTTCCAAGAGATGTTTCGCGATGATCAGGACAACTATGGATCGGTCCGAAATTAAACCACAATAAAGATTTAATTAGTGTAAGGTATAATTTAGTCTTTAATCGAAAGAATAAGCAAAATATCATTTTTAAACCAAATTTTCATTTCCGACAAAATATTTCGTCATAAATTATTTATAATGTATTCGCACAGTGAGTACATTTATTCTTGAGTCAAAACTGACTGGTTACAAAAATGAAGTCCCCACCGACATTTTTGCAAAGGAAATTATTGTTCAGAATCGTGTCGGCTACCCCTCCCCCCTTTCAAGTTCTTAGGAGAGTTCTGGGACACCCTGTATACCTTAATAATTGTACCATATTTTAATTTGATTTCTTGTGCCATTTCAACCGAAATCTTCAGGGAATTATGCATTATTCAAAAAGTTGTGCTGAAATAAGTTGATTCCCTGTAACCACTAATAAACTTTGATGTCTTTTCAGAGAGGACATCGAAGTGATGTGATAGAAGTACGATGTCTCCTCAGAAAATATATGTATAAACTCGCAGTAGTGTCACAGCCCGTAAGAATAAGCAATCTGCTTGACATTCCATTTGATGCTACCACGCCAAGGGCAGAGTTCTTCATTACCAGCGTGGTGTTATCTGCCTTGCAATAGAGAGCGTCATGAGCTATCGCTGGTGAGCCGAACAGAGTCCCGTTGTTCCTTTTAAACGTTCAGTCCTTCAGTCGTGTCGAGCGTATGCCGTTGTTAACATCCATTTGTGACGTGACCGACGAGAAGGTTCCAGAACAGTCTTGAAGAATATATTAAAAATGGATTTTTTCATGTCATATTTCGTCATTCTGCTAATAGGAACTGCTAGTGCAACGATCATAGAAGGTATATTGATTTAATAGACCTATACATATCATGCAATCGTCAGAGGCCCTCTGCAATCGCCAGCGAAACTGTCATCGTCCTCCGACGATAACGTAGTCTCGGCGTTGTTTGCATTTCGATACTTCCACCAATTCCTTTAATCCAATGTTCTTTACCAATCTCATAAAGTACTTACAAAGATGTCAATTTCATCATCTTTCAGGGGAGTAATTAGAATACTGTTTTCCCGTCGACACGCATGGCATTCAACCTTGGCTACGAATTTTATCTCAATCATTTACATATCTGTGGTAGTTTGTTATCACTATTCAAAGCTTGTTATAGCCATTCGTATTCGCATATACATGAATATATTACCATGAACGAAAGCACCAGGTTACACAGTAATCAAAATTTTCGTGTAACTGTTAACGCATATATATTTCATTCCTCGTTACGCAGACAGTAATCATTGGCATGACTTATCAAAGAAGGAATTGAAAGAAGCTCTGTCGTACAAATGGAACACAAAGAGAGCAAAGAATGTGATCGTCTTCGTGGGTGATGGCATGAGTCCTGACACCATAACCGCCAGCAGGATTTACCGTGACGGCGAAACAAGTCATCTGGCCTGGGAAAAATTCCCACACATAGGAATTCTTAAGGTTTAAACACTATTATCAATTAAAACACAATTTTTTTACGAAATCGTTGCTAATTTGGGTATATCGTTTGCGTTCAATGCACCAGACGTACAGCGTCAACAAACAAGTGCCAGACTCGGCGTCGACGGCAACAGCACTGTTCAGTGGCGTGAAAACGAATTACGAAGTGGTTGGCGTTGACGCAAACGTATCGCTGGGTAACTGCACTGCGAGCTTGGATACCGACAATCACGTGGAATCGATCGTATCGTGGGCACAAGCAGCTGGTAAAGATACAGGTTAGTAACAGAGATATGTACCAATGCACAGTAGGATGAATCACGAGAAACGCGATGAAAATTCCTCCCATTTACAGTCCATTATATTTTATAATACAGAAAGTGAATCTAGAAGTTCCTTAGGTAGCGAAATATGGTTTTGATTGTTAAGCCCTAGTTCAGACACAGCGGAATCCGTGCTGTGAGAGGTTATGCGACTGCAACACCAGTGGTTTCGACGTAGCATGCATAGTATGACCGTTGACATTTGTTAAATATTTTCTTTCTTGACATACCTTGCCACTTTACTTGACGAGAACCTTCATTTCAAAGGAAAACTTCATTTCCTAT